ATCCATGGTGAACAGATCCGATTGCGCTTTTAGTGGGACACGATTTTTGGTAACTTAAAAATTACAATGGTATAGGAACAGAAAACCAAGTGCAACGCTTCATGTGAAAGGGATCACTCGTCCTCATCTAAGATTCCCTGTAGTTTCGATCTTTGGCAACGGGCCAACACAGCCAGGCAGCATCCCATGATATGGAAAAAATACAACCTTAACCTTAATTACTTCGCGCAGTAACCTTGCCATAACCATAAACGACATGCTGAGATATGAGCCTTGCTAATATCTCAGCATCGTTGTGATTGTATTTTAAGTAACAACCTCCTGTGAAGAAAATAACAGGCACCAAATAAAAGTTATACATTGCTACCAACTGCAAATTCACAAACACGTTCTTCTCTGAACAGTGGATGATTCGTGGTTTTTAAGAGCCTTCACCCTCACTTGCTCTTAATGTTTCTAAGAGATAGCATTGCGCAACGACCCAGTCACATCTTGCTTGCCTTTGAACGTTCCAAATCTAAATGGTAATCACATGCAATCTCAGATAAAGTGAAAATGAAGGCTGAACTCTTTAGGAAGTTATGTTTAGAAAATTTCTACCAAAGCAACACAATGATGGTGGGAAAATGACACTCGGCGACTATGATTGGAAATTATCCTGTAACTTCCAGTAATCCCTATTTGGGTAAGTAAAACCAAAGAACAGTAAATGCCAAGTAGGAATGAAGGTGACTAATGAATGACGTGCCTATGAGGCTGCAACTTCTGCTTGCTTGACCAGCTGTTTTATGCGACAATGCATGGTGTCCGACCAACGGTTAAGCTCACTAGTTTGCTCTCAGAGATTACTAAAGGTTGCGCAGAACAGTTTTAGCAGTGCCAACAAACGGTAATTGGTGCGACAATAAAATATGGTACAATTCATGGGCAAGCATTGAAATGCAGTGTTGAGTTTCTAATTTTCCTACTTCTACACATCTTCAATCCTCTCAGCGGTTTATTACCTCATCGTGGCCAGGAGGTGTGTCTTGGCATCGGATTGCGAGATACAGTGGGTGGATTCATCCTTCTGGTAGGGTCTCACAGGCTGAGAAGGAGCCCGGCCTTTCCATCAGGAAGCCCAGCTAAGAATAAACCAATAGCGAGATCTACCACCGTCCTGATAACAAAGTTGCATAGTGGCAATCCACAATGAAAGTCTGTGGTGATGAAGACCTGGGGTAGACTTTGGCCAGGCTGAAGTCGAGATTCCAGGAAACCACAATGGCTTAACCAGTAAATCTCTGAAAAATGGAGATTATGCTGGGTCCTGCACAACTAGCGAGGGCGGGACGTTCAAGTATCAAGTACCAAGTATACATCTACAATAACCAGTTTGCGTGTCGGAGAGAGAAAATTATCGAATTGGACCAGTTACAAAGGAGACATGTTTACAACTTTAGCTATCTCCATAGTAAAATATAAAACTAGGTAGAAAACAGGAAACAAGGAAGATTAAGATAAAGGAGAGCTCGACGGAAAGGTGTAAGTGGGATATAAGTGGGCGAAAACGGTTCATAGTCAGAAGCATCAGTTCTTAATGTCAGTCTTCTCCAAAATTTATCTGCGATTACTATACGCCCTTCCTTTTAGATAAAACAGGGTGGCCATGATTTCGAAAAGAGATATTTTGAAAGAAATCTAACTAAAATTCAAAACCACTCCTAGTGGCTTACACGCAAATTTATACTTACTAGGTAACAGCTCGAAAGGTCGTCAACGCCAAAAGGCGAATCAAAATACGCAGTGTACAGATGTTTCGAGAAGTTTCGCAGCAGAGATGTGAATCTTGATGGTGAAAAGTTTGTTTATACCCCAAGAACATTTGATGGCGACCATCTGGCAGTGATAGCGATATTCGACGATGACTGTAAAGAAATTGCTCAAAAGGTTGAGGAAAACCCGTAGTTAAGCACTCAGCAGTCTTTCGGAAGACATTGGAAAGATTAAAATAGTTCGATAAATATTCTACGACCGACTGTGAGGGAACTAATGAGATTAGAAAACATCTCGGATTACCAGAGACGTCATTGGAGCAGGAATAAAACATCACGTTAAACAGTGGGAAGTGCTCACTTTTTTACACAAACAAATGAAGAATAGGGCGCCGATAGCACAGTGGTAGCGATGCCCGCCCTCACGAGCATGGTGCTGGTTCGATTCCGCTCCGCTCTTGGCCAACCAAGCCTCTCATTCCTTCGGGGTCGGGAAATGGTATCGGATTTGTCTGGGAGAAAAACACTCTCTGCAACCCAACTGGGAACGCTCCAGTCCGAATATCTTAGGATTCCTAGGAGAATTGCACGACCAGCATTCTATGACATTCAAGATGAAATGAAAATCCTCAAAAAGCAACTGAAGGCACACGTAAAGTGGGAATCTTCGTAGACAATGGATGCGAGGAAACGAATCGAATGTGAGAAGTGCTGGGATCAGCACAGTGGGTGAAGATTGGCCGAAAATAAAAAAAATAGAAATTAAAAAAAAGCAGAATACTCACTTCAGGTACTTGATACTTGATACTTGAGCGGCCGGTCCTCAATAGTTGTGCGGGCCCCAGCATAACCACTATTTTTCGGATATTTGCTAGTTGAGGCATTGTGGTTTCCTGGAATCCCGAGGACAGCTTAGCCAAAGTCTGCCTCTGGTCGTCACCAAGAGAGGCAGTCGCAGCCCTTGTGGTTCAGAGAAAGATTTATTACTATGCGGCTTTGTTTAACGTTTTGTTTTCTGCCTTCTATAATTTTCATGGCAGGTTACTAAGCGAAATACAACCACAACGTTGCTGAGATATTTGCAAAACTCTGGACCGCAGGTGTCTATGGTGGGGAACGAACGCGCTATTATCCTTTCCGGGGAGTAACGCGTTCACCACCACACCATGCGGGTCCTTTGTTTCGCACGTCTCTCAGCTATTTCTATCGATCTTTTTGCCACAGCAATCACCCGTCAGCGGCTTTGATACCAAAACGGTGATGGATCCTGGTATTGGTTTACTCTTAGCTAGGCTTCCTGATGGAAACGCCGGACTCCTTCTCAACTAGGGAGACCCTGCCGGGGGTCAAATCCACTCTCTGGTACAAACTTTTGAACCATCTTTGAAACTGCAAGGCATATGAAAACCAAAGTTCGTGCAAAATAAAAGTCCAAGAAAAAATCCGATTTGTGTAAATTCAAGGCACAGTGTTAATGGTTCACGGAGAAGTGAGTCCATGATTATATTTGGAGTAACGCATCGACATAAAAATAAAGGAAATCTCGCTTGACAATTACCGACCTTATGCATGCTTCCTATTTATTGTAGTCGTAGTGTAAGTGTAAAAGTTTTCCACTACCTAGAATTTAGAAACTCAACCATTTTAAGGGTGACACCTTGTTCCCAGGTTGTGCCAAATTTCAATTTTACGTATGTCACAATTTTTTTGTACCGTTCTAAGAACCCTCCTAACCGTTTACCGCCTCATGGTGGCTGAGAGGTGTTCCAGGGTATCGAGCTGCGATGTACAGTGGGGATTCATCCTCCTAGCAAGGTCTCCCAAGCTGAGAAGGGGTCCGGCTTTTCCACCATGAAACCTAGCTAAGCAGGATACATCACAGTCCAAGTATCAAACTCACATGGTGGAAAATTTCCCCTTAATCCACAAGGGCTGCTAATATCTGTGGTGGTGAGGACCTGAGGCAGACTGGAGCCAGACTGACCTCGGGATTCCAGAGAACCACAATGGCTTAACCAGCAAATCTCCGGAAAATTGGAGATTATGCTGAGGCCCTCACAACCAGTGAGGATGGGCCATTCAAGTATCAGTTATCAAGTAAGTTCTAAAAACGAATCTGGAAAAGTTTCGATAAAGTCGATGAGATCTATAGCAATCGTTGACCGGAAATCGTGCACTGCTCGCAAAGACAGCTGGTAAACTAAACGCCCAAGTCGACATCCTCCTGCATTGGCGTCATTCGCTGCTCTTCTGATTTCTATAAAAGGAGCCTTTCAGGTTAGCGGATTGTCGTTAATTACGTTAATGGACTTGTTTTTATTAACTTTGTATTATGTTTGACTTCATTATTTCCAACTATTTCCTCATTAGTTCAACTTTTCGGCTGTCCCAAAAGTTGAGCGTCAACCATTAATGGATTTACTAAGTACTTAGAGAGCTTTCTGTATAAAAAAACTAGAGAAGTGCCGAAAAGGGTGGCCCAAATTGACCAGTATGACATGAAATTCTAAGGAACACATCGGAGGATCTCATAACCATGTGAAAATCTTATAAACAGAAAAAACATAAGCAGTGGATAAAATGGTAGTGCAAGTCTACAGAGACCCAAGCATTCGCATGTAGACGCCAAACCTTTTCCCAACATGACTAACCAGGATGGGTACGGTGGTAAGACTACGAAGATTCATAATGATAAAGTCAGGTCGACATTGCTATTTAGTTGAAACTAGAAATTGAAGTTCATTTGAAAGAAAAGGTATTGAGACCCAACTTTTTTTCCTTATCTTTCGATGCTCTACTGCTCTATCCCGTAATGATTTTCGTTTCAGAATGAGAGTTGTACTGCTCTTATTTCTGACCACCACTGTGGGTGCACAGGTATTCGAAAGCTGGGAACCAACAATTGAAGGAGCAACTAATGAAGAGGCCAAAGAAGGAAATCTACACAACGGATATGACATTGTAAGTCTCAACGAACAATCTATTCAAAATATAGAACGCAGATGACGAAGATGTTGTTCCTTTGTTCAATATTCCTCTTTTCTTAGGAGCAAGATGTGGTGGATACGAAGAAATTTCTTGAGCAGCTACACGATATGGAGGATGAAATAAATGGTGAATTGAGTCTATCTGAAGAGCAGAATGCTAAGTTATTGAAGAAGATGGAGGTCAACAAATTGGCTTACGTGTGAGAGTCAGTCAAAGAGTAGGTTTGGTTTTTAGGATTACATCGAAATCAAAAAGGATCACGTCGAACCAATGGGCGACACAATCGAGGAAATCAATCACAACAGCAATGTCGACACTGCGCTATTTCAAGGAGACATGATCCTCACAAAGTTTGTCCACTAGAGGATAATTTTGCTTCTGTATACGTGTCTTTTGTTTAAGAGAACAAACCGAGGAGGCCATTGAAGACATCAAAGAGAGCGAAGGCAGCCGCAGAAAACGTCAAGCATTCCGTGATGAAAACTACCCTAAAACGTTGTGGCCCAAAGGAGTGTATTATTCTTTTTATTCGAATGCATGTCCGTTTTGTTTTTTCTTCGCTTTCTGTCCTCTACTTCTTAGTCTCAGTGAAAAACGTTATTTGCCGCCACCAATCCACAAATATGTTCAGCTCAAGCAGCAAGAAGGGTATTCAGAAAAGCTACTGTCCAATGGTCTTTAGACACCTGCATTAACTTCAAAGAAAGCAACACAGGTGCGATAAAAACAGAAATTGGGAATGGGTGAAGCTTTAAGCACTCTCTAGTCGCATTATCAAGGCTTTAAAATTGCATTGAAGCGCTTAACAGCAACCACCTTTGCAGCTGCTGATAGAATCACTGTTATTGCTGGTACGGGATGCTACTCATTTGTTGGGAGAACTGGAGGTGTTCAAATTCTCTCACTAGGAAGGGGATGCGAAATGGTATGGCCTACGGAGCCCTAGTTGAATTTATATTAAATTTTTTTCTAATGTCTTTGTACTAACTAAAGATAAGAACTTGGAATTAATGCATGACGGCACGATACTACGGCAATTTCGTGCAGGTTGGAATAGCAGCACACGAAATCGGACATGCTTTGGGTTTCTTCCACACGCAGGCGAGACACGATCGTGACCAGTTCATCACTCTTTATAAGCAAAACTTTTTGGTGAGTCTAAAAATTTACCAGTATAGATATTTAGTTATAAGGAACATATGATTTCAGCCCGGCTGGTTGTCTCAATTCACAAAGCAGACGAGACACACCAATTACAACTACAACCTGACTTACGACTATGGAAGTATTATGCACTACGGAGCAACAGTGTCGGTCAAGTCCTGAATGCTTCAGTGTGAAATCACTGCAAAGGATGTTTAATTGCAGTGTTTCAAAGAACGGTCGACCTGTTATGGTTTCACGTGATTTGAAATATATGCAAACACTTGGATCGCCGATGATTTCATTCTACGAAAAACTCATGATGAATCTGCACTATAAATGTCTTGGTGAGTTTACACTTTTACATAACCCTTTTATTAATTTTGATGTGTTTTATTATATCTGCTTAACCTCGGAGTAATCTAGATAAATGCGCCACAAAATCCTCAGCCATATGCCGAAACGGAGGGTTCCCTCATCCGAGAGACTGTTCTAAATGCATCTGTCCTAGCGGGTATGGCGGAAGGCTTTGCGGAAGAAGAGTAAAAATTTCGATATTGAATTGATTTCTTTTAGAGCAGTCTAACGGTCATTTTTCAGCCAATTGGCTGCGGTAAAACACTAACTGCATCGAACACCTTCCAGACGCTTAAGGATACAGTAGATGTAGCTACAATAAGTGATGAGTTCACTATGTGCAATTACTGGATTAAGGCATGAACATCTAATCTAAAGTGAAGTAATAATGGTATTAGAAAATTGTTTTCTAAGGGACCAGTTGGCTCCAAGATTGAGGTAGTGCTCGATCGCTATGCGAAAGGTGTGGCTATCGATGGCTGCATATATGCAGGAGTTGAAATCAAAACAGGGAAAGATAAGCGCCACACCGGCTACAGGTGAGAGCAAACTGATAGGAAATGTTGACAGTTTTTAGGAGGTAGTGGTGCTTCAAACAGTTTAGATTCTGCGCATCGGAAAATGTTGGAACATCTCTAGTATCTACGCACAATATCGTGCCTGTGATTACTTACAGCCGTGTTCCTGGAGCCACAACCGTCTTACGTTATCGAATCGGTAACCAGTCGTTGCACTTTATGAATTGTTTTTGTTACTTATTGATGCTTTCTGGAATTTTGCAGTTTCTTCTGGTTCACGATCAACTCGTCGACCCCGCCCCAATCCTTCAGACCCCTGTTGCCAAGATGGCCCAATGTATGTCTTAGTTATACTGTTTTATTTTTTTTTTGCAAAGTTTTAACCATCGTTTAGGTGCCCAGCATTAATGAAAGTCAACTTCTGCAACTCTTCCAACTACAATGAGAGATTAAAAAAAGTGCTCTGCCCGAAATCATGCGGATTCTGTTAATAGATGTCATCTTCTTCTGAAGTTAAAAGCTTTACGCACCTACTGTCAGGCACATCGGTCCGTATGAAGTATAGGAAAATTTAGACACATAAGAGAACGCATATTAAACTAGACATAGAGTGCACAAAATGTGCAAAAAAAAGGACTAATAAAACCATCTTTCAAATGTAAACGAAGAGATGATCCATCGTTTTGAACTCAAACCGTTAGACGAGAACTATCGCTAGGCAAAATGAGCTGGATCGTGATCGGGCTCGAAACTCAGTCACGAAAAACCACTATAAATTGAATAATAGTCAAACTTTTTGCCGGATTGCAAACCGTGCAAAAGTAGCAAACCTATCTTCAACTTACACCAGCTCATAAGTGAATGCGATTGGAAACTGGAAATGTTCAATTGTTTTAAGAAAGTGAACAAGCCCGCACCATGACCAAAGTCACCAGTAGTGCACAAGAACGAAGACTAAAATTTCAAAACCACAAAATTGTGTCAAATATGCTTCGAATAACCCACAACAATAACATAGTGCGTCATCAACGCTTTCAAGGTCCTGTTTATATAGAGATTTGGGCAATATTATATCTATACGAAATGTTGGGACCCTAACATATCTTTTATTATTTTCTTTCTCTCGCAGTGCGCTTCAATGGCGGTGGTCTGCTTCTGACATGATGGCATGTACGGTGCACATTCCATGACTGGAAAATCGTTTTTCATTCTCCAGTGGGGATAATTGCCTTCTACCAGGAACTCTTTCTCCCAATACTTTAATTGGTCCCGAGACCCGAACTTCTATTAACCTCAGCATTAATCGATAATACATCGTTTTACTTCAAAGAGCAAAACGAAGTTGGTAGTATGGCATATACTACCACACAACTGTCCTACCAAGGCTCATAAGTTGGCATCCACTGATGATATGGCATCTACCAACCTTCAAGGTTATAAACATCATCAATTATATAGACAGGTCCACCGATAGAATAGTTTGGTTTACAAATCTAATTCTCATTCAGTTGCCGAAGCACGTACAAGCCAATCTCAGTAATACCCAAATATCCCTGGATCGTCTACGTAAGGCCGTCCCAACAGCGCGTACGCTATGGAGTCTTTCGACGTTACCGCCCTTCACACTAGCGTGGCGAATGACTCTGCAATGCAAGCTATCCGAGTGCTTCTTGTGTAACACGGAGGAGTAATAAAGATATTCGGCCTCTTGATTCACCAGATAATGCTCTTCCTGAAGGTTTTCCTAAACTGCTTGATCATAAGACGGTCTGGTAAATATTACGCACAAACAAGCTTTGCCACTGCAGTCGTATACGAGGTGAGAACACCAATAATTGAACTGCTATCATTACTGTAGATATATAAACGAGCACAATGATGCTGAGATAGACAGGCAAAACGAAACACTCGCATGGTGTGGTGTTGAACGCGTTAGCCCAGGAAAGAGTAATAGCGCGTTCGTTCACCACCGTAGGCACTTGCGATTTGGAGTTTTGCAAATATCTCAGCAACGTTGTGGCTATACTTCGCTTAATACCTTGCCGTAAAAATTGGACTAGGCAGAAAATAAAAACTAAAACATTGTAATGCTCAGATATTTGCAAGACTCCGGAGAGCAGGCTTCTGCGACGGGAGTTGAACGTGCTATTTTCCTTTCAATCCGTTGACGGGTGATTGCTGATAGCACCCATAAAACATGGTTGAGAGAAAGGCGAAACGAATGTCTCCCAATGTGTGATAGTTAACACGTTAGCCTCCGAAAAGGTCATAGCGTGTTCTGTCCTCACCACAAACACTCGCTGTCAGCACTGTTGCAAATATCTCAGTATTATCGTACTTATTTTTCACATCATATGCTGCCATGAAATAAGAAAAGGTAGTAAATAAAAAGTGCTTGCATATAGATCATTGCTTTGTCATCTGTTCAGCACAAGAGAGAGACAAGTGCTCTAAGCAATTAAACGAACAGCCAGAGTTCATAACATTTACCCCATAGAAAGCGAAAAAAAACTGATTTCCATTTTCGGTTGTCTGAATTAGGCTTTATGAAAACAGCTACATTACAAAGTAGTACCGAAAGCCATGTGGTAGAAGCGTAATATCGTCAATTTCTATTTACCGCCTACTATTTTTTAATGGCAGGGTATTATGTAAAATATAACCACAACTTTGATGAGATATTTAGAAAACTCCAAAGCGCTGGTCTCCAAGTTGGGGACCGAAAACGCTATTACACTTTCCGGGGGCTAACACGTTCACCACCACACCATACGAGTCCTTTGTTTCGCCTGTCTTTCAGGCGTGTTATTGACCTATCAGCAATCGCCCATCACCGGAACGAACCCAGTTAAGCCGAGAACGCAATCGAAATCACAGTGTTAACTTTTTTATTTACTGCCTATCATAAGTTTTCACGGCAGGGTATTACGTGTGGAACAATCACAACGACGCTGAGATATTCCGATTGTGATTTCGACTACTGCTTCAGCTTAACTGGGTTCGTTGCCGATTTGGGCTCCCTAAATCAATCCCGTTGACGGGTGATTGCTGATGGCAAACATATCGATAGAACTAGTTGAGAGACAAACGAAACGAAGGACCCACATGGTGTGGTGGTGAACGCGTTAGCCCCAGAAATGGTAATAGCGCGTTCGTTCCCCATCGCAGACATCTGCGGTTTGGAGTTTTGCAAATATCTCAGCATCATCGTGGTTGTTTCACACGTAGTACCCTGAAGTGAAAAATTATAGAAAGCAGTAAATAAAAAGCTAACTCTGCGATTTAATAATGTCTGGATAAAGAAACTACACTTTCAAATTTTCTCTTTTTTGTGTCGTTTTCTTGTTCAGCAATCGCGAGGTTTTTAAACAGCATACATTTACTTCCATAAAAACACAATACAATACAAAACGCTAGCTGACGTTTCGGCAGTATCGCCTTCTTCAGAGCCTGGAAGGGTATACTGGTATGCAATCTGCTAGGGCAAACGCTTCAATAACACTTACAGAAAGACGAAAGGCTCTTTGGTAATTACACGGACAACAACTTCTCGAAAAACCCACCGCTTTTTCGTGACTTCCAATGAGGAAGTTTAGAACAGCTGATTTTAGTCGCATGTGGTTGACGACTGCACCAACCCACATCAAAAATCGATGCGAACGTACGGGATCAGGTCGCGTATAACCTCCGGGCATTCGTCCCTGCTATTCATTGTAGGGTTTTTGGCATTTATCCAAAAAGTCTCTAGGAGTTTTCGCGCTGGTGTTTTGGACTCCTGTGCAAGGATATTGACGTTTACTTCAAAATCGTCTCCGCTATGCTTTTGTATCCTATGCGTGCCTAGTGGGGTGCTTCGTCTTAGTTTTCGTTTGCCATCTAGGCGTTCTTTTATACGGATACACAAAGGTCTGCCCGTTTCGCCAATATATTCATCTCCGCAATTGTTACAGGAGATCAGGTATATCGTACCTGAACTCATGCAATCACCGTCCCTGCCGTAAGGGTAAATTACGCAATTTGTTGTTTCACACAGACGGTCATACAGGCGATTGCGAACTAATTGGCGACGTAGAGTAGTCGGTGGTATTTCAACTATCGCTACCGATTCCTCTAGACCTGCCCTTCTTAAGCATCGTTTTATAGNTTTTTCGTGACTTCCAATGAGGAAGTTTAGAACAGCTGATTTTAGTCGCATGTGGTTGACGACTGCACCAACCCACATCAAAAATCGATGCGAACGTACGGGATCAGGTCGCGTATAACCTCCGGGCATTCGTCCCTGCTATTCATTGTAGGGTTTTTGGCATTTATCCAAAAAGTCTCTAGGAGTTTTCGCGCTGGTGTTTTGGACTCCTGTGCAAGGATATTGACGTTTACTTCAAAATCGTCTCCGCTATGCTTTTGTATCCTATGCGTGCCTAGTGGGGTGCTTCGTCTTAGTTTTCGTTTGCCATCTAGGCGTTCTTTTATACGGATACACAAAGGTCTGCCCGTTTCGCCAATATATTCATCTCCGCAATTGTTACAGGAGATCAGGTATATCGTACCTGAACTCATGCAATCACCGTCCCTGCCGTAAGGGTAAATTACGCAATTTGTTGTTTCACACAGACGGTCATACAGGCGATTGCGAACTAATTGGCGACGTAGAGTAGTCGGTGGTATTTCAACTATCGCTACCGATTCCTCTAGACCTGCCCTTCTTAAGCATCGTTTTATAGCTGCGCTTAATTCATCGCTTATAAAAGGCAACATAAACGGGATTTTTTTTTGCCAAGTGTTTCGCGTGGGCGCGTCGTTCTCCTTGTAAACTTATCTCGTGGGGTTACTATTTCGTAGCCATTGGAGATGGCTATTTGCAGGGCCAAGTCGCGCGATTCTTCCTTTAGTTCCCTGGTAGTGCACACAGAGTTGGCTGTTCGAAACATGTTTCTCACAATCGCTCTTTCTCTTTTTTGCCCTTTTGCTACAGTAATTGCTATGTCATCATCTAGCGATTTCTCACACGAAATCACATTGACTAAAAAACTTCATTCATTAGTCGTATAGAGCTCATTGGAAACTGTAAAGATAGAAGACCAAGACGAAGACGCTACATCGAGTACAGAAACAACTATGGGCCATCGACAAGGATCTTCTGCTCTGATGAAGACGAAGACGCTGAAACGTCGGCTGAATAAACGTCATATCAACCTCTTGTAAGCTCAACAGTATATGCAAATGTTAATTATTGATATTATCGAGGTTAAACGATGGTAAATTTCAAAACTATTGTAAAGATACCGAATGGTGTGGTGGTGAAGTGCGCTACTCCCCGCTAAGGACAATAGCGCGTTCGTTCCCCACCGCATACAACTGCGGTCCGGAGTTTTGCAAATATCTCAGCATTATATACGAGTTATATTGCAAAGATACTTCCGATTCTGAATATGTGCTAGCAATATTTTGCTTGTTCTCTTTTAAATTCTAAACATTTTGTATGTTCAGGTGCACTAAATTAATCCAAAGTGGCTCTTACTGTTCCCCGGTGGCGTAAAGGCCTTATGAGGACATGAAAAGACTAGTCTCTTCATGAACTTGTGCCCTCTCACGTATAATTGTTAACTTCTTTTAAAAACGCTTCTATATAGGTATTCTTTTATTGGTAATCTAACACAACGTTGAAAAAAAAGTTTTATTCGGTTGACGTTTCATCGTACTCGTCTTCTTCAATGCTGATGATCCGAGTCGATGGTACAGACTTTTCCTCGTCTCGATGTGGCGTATTCGTCATCGTACCCAGACGGATCTTCTTCATTGGAACACCACACGAATGAGTGTTCTTATTTTTCAGCGGATCTAGCCGACTCGGATCATCGGCTCTGAGGAGGACGAATGCACCGAAACGTTAATCGGACTGATAACTTTATTAACCTCATGCTAGGTTAGCAATCCAAGAAAGTTTCTGAAGTACTATTGCGCTCTGTGCTTTTACGTGGCTTATCTCAAGTATATACACATATGTGATACCTAGACATGTTCAACTCACGCGTATACATACAAACATTCACATCCAAATACCTATAAGTACGCACATACAGATTGTGTGAACATACACGGATCTCGGTACATTCAAATATTTCCCTGGATTGCATGGTGAATGTTCGTGTAGTTTTTGTTCTTGCAATAGAGCCTTCCGTTTCGATGACCATTACTTCTGGCAGAGAACTTCACGGAATCGGAAAATTCAAATCTTTACGTTAATAGAATGTCACTATCTTTAAGTCGTTGGTATCCGTGTTATTTGCAACGCAATCACCCGTTAAAGGGATTGATCTGGGAAGCTCACATTGGCATCAGACCCATTTAAGTTGAGGCTGTAGCTAAAGTCAAAATGGTTTACTTTTTCCCTCTTCCCATCCTCCCCCTCACTCACCCTCCCCCCCCACAGACACCTGCTGTCCGGACTTTCGCAAATATCTCAGCATCGTTGTGGTTGTCTATCTAAAGGTTTAAAGCAATTTTCCATTTGTTTTTGTGTAGAACAGACGATAACAGAGTCGCCAATGTATCGACAGTAAAACAGTGGTCGGCGATCGGTCACAGTGGTCACCTTATACATAAACGCGGTGATAAGGCTTGGTGCTAATCGCTGTCCCATGGCCAACTCTTTAATTTATGCAGGATATCTTTCCGATCACCTCAAAATTGACGCTGTAAGGCTCTTTCTTTAGAGGATCATTAGCTATTGAATCAACGAGCCATAATATTTACTTTATTTTCAAATTCTGCGAGCAGTTCGAGAACGGCTTGCATTGCAAAGTCATTGGGCACATTGGTATAAAGTGAAGTAACATCGAATAACTTCTTTACACCCGTGTTGTCTGCTTGCGGCCATCGAAAGTGATCTAGAAATACTTTGATGTAAGGCAGATGGGTTGGAATGATTTTTCAGCAACTGGGTCAGGATAAGGTTTAGAAACCACGTTTTTCCATCTGTTGGCCCGCCTATACAACTGATGATAGGCTTGACTTTAAATGGTGATGAGTTCGTTGATGTAATATCATTAGTTAAAGTAAGCTTATATGTTTTAATGAAAGTAGCTATATGTTTCCATCTTCGCAATGGTTAGAGGTGCCTTGCAATACACATGTAGTCCTTGGATCAATCTCCTTCACTTTTAGAAAGTCGGCACGAAGGTTGCCTCAGAGATAACCACACTTCTTGTTTGCCTTAGGGATAACCACACACTTGTTCTTCTATAAGTCATTGAATGTAGTAATTATACAGTTAACCACAAACGGAACCAAAGGCATAGCGAATTTACGTGAAGCTGATTTATGTCGAAGCCTCATCATAAATTTTGATTGTTATGGCAACATAGATAATAAGGTTAACACAGTCAGCCAGCGGTAGTGTTCATAGGAGCAAGTGCTATAAAGGAAGCCATTTCAGCCAGGTAGACGATGGAGCCTCTCTGCTTTTTCAATATTGATTTCTATTTCTTATCAGAATTGACTGCATTCACTATAAATTGAGATATGGTGTTCTGTCGTGTAATTCCATTAGGAATCGTCCTTTCACAAGTTTAAGTTTAGTTTAAGTAAGTTTAAATTCCTTCGTCTCATCTATTCCTATTTCTTCAAACCAATCCGGATGATAGGTACAGATTGATGCTATATTATCGCGCCCGTTAGTCCGATATAAAGCAAAGTCTCTGAAGACAGTTGGTTGATCGCAGTTGGAGTTCCATCCTCAAACGTGCGTCATTCGCGCCAACTTTGTGTGCTCATATCCTATGCCATTCTTTGATTGAACCTCCTATACAAAGGAACTCTGCACTTAAAGGAATATCTCCACCTAAAATAGCTGAACATTCTTTTCTCCATCGGTCTATTAGGCTTTAACAACTAAACAATCAATTAATAATTAATTAGTTAAGTTCGACAATAGTAATAAAGCTCGCCGCCTTTGCAATCTCTCTCATTTTGAATAGGTTTACTCCAAGATAGCTGGCTTCTCAGTGGAAATGCCAAACCCGTTTTGACTCCTAACGACACTGCTAAGATGTGCGAAACGCCCAGCTGTCAATGGTAGCTCGACACCCGATGACATCTCACTGCCACAGGAAGGAGGCAGCCCTTTGGTGATGATGTTAAATGATGTGATGTTGACAATGATGTTAAAACTGCTAACAAGTAATAATAATAATAATAATAATAATAATAATAATAACAATGAAGATTAACCTTAATAATGGGACTAAAAATTAACAACAATTGATAATGGAAAAATTCTCATTTAGTGTATACGCCCAAATCACTACTTACAGTATGCGGATTTCTATAAACGGTACTCCATTTCACTCGCCTTTCCAATTGCTTCTCCTCTCTACGCTTGAGTTACAGGATCAGAGTTATTTCATTATTGGCTAGCACTGTTGCCGCAGGGATGATCGATGGCTTGGAAACGGGAACTGGACGATTCACCAACGAGAATAGTTTTGTAGAAATACCAAACGAGGGATATAACTCGCCCAAAAACGTAAGGTTCTCCAACCTCACGCATCTCTTGAAGATCAACATTAGCCTTTCATTTTACATTTGATCTTACTCTATCTATTGAACCGGAGTACGGTGGATACAATGAGGCTTCTCGAGCAGTTACACGACATGGAAGACGAAATAAATGATGAGCTCAGTTTATCCGATGAGTAAAATGCTAAGTTACTAAATGAGATAAAGGTCAGCAGATGGGTTTTCATGTGAGGCTCAGTCAAGAAGTAGGGTTAATTTCTAGGATTACGTCGATGTCAAAAAGGATCACATCGAACCAAAAGGCGACATAATCGAAGAAGTCAACCATAAATGCAATGTGGACACCGCGTTGTTTCAGGAAGACATGCTTCTCACCAAGTTTGTTCACTTGTAGGTTTCGCTCTTATTTTGCATTGTCTCCATGTGCCTCTCTTTTTTCTTTATAGAACAAGCCGAGGAGGTTATCGATGACATTAAAGGGAACGAGGGCAATGGAAAAAAGCGACAAGCATACCGTGATATTACCTTAAAACTACGGTCAAATGGAGTATATTACTTTCTCTTTTCAAGGTGAAGTTTCTTTTTTCAATCTTCTTAATTGTCTAGAAGCATATTAAATAAAAAAAACATAAGTAATTTAACCAAAAACTTTAGGCCAACAAAAGAGAAGCTTATTCAGGAAAGCTGCGGCGGCTTGGTAAAACGAAACTTGCACTGATTTCTCGGAGAACAACACAGGTTTGGTAATGATCAAAATTATTGATACATTAGATTCTACGATTTCCATAATGAAAAAATTTCAAGCGCCGAATAGAATCGTTCTTATCAAAGCAAATGGCTGCTGCTCCATGGTAGGAAGAGTTGGAGGAGTGCAGCGCACGTAACTTGGAAGGGGATGCGAATTAGTAAAATCTACAAATTTTTTTCATAACGTGTCTATGAAAAACATCTGCAGGTTGGAACTGCTGCGCACGAGATTGGCCACGCTTTGGGCTTCTTCCGTACGCAGTCAAGAAACGAACGAGACAGTTTCGTCACGCTTTATACACAAAACTTCATGGTAAACCTGAGATGAAGTAGCAGCACAAATAAGTAATAGTGGTGGAAACGTGAGTCCAGGATGGCTGGTTGTCTCAATTCACAAAACAAAGCCAAAGGTCTAACTACAACTATAACCTACGATTACGGAAGCGTTATGCATTACGGAGCAACGAGGTAGGCATGAGCTACAAACTCAAGGTTTCAGTTGGAAGCCATGTAAGTGTCTAAACACTTTAATTACAGTGTTTTGAAGGACGTGCGATAACAGAGGAGTCGGCGGCGTCGGCGTTCTCGTCAACACTAGTTTGCCCATGAACATGGATTCTTTCCAACATCTTACAACTCGAATCGGACGTTTACGGCTAAAAGGATGTGAATCAACACCGGCTTTGACGATGTTCGTCGCGCCGACATCAAACTATAACGAAGAAGAAGTCGAAGTGGTCTACATGGACTCCGAGAAGTTCTACAGAGAAGACCACACCTTCTTCAAGGTCATCATTGGAGATTTCAACGCCAAGATTGGACCAAGAAGAATGTCTGAAAAACGTCACATTGGGACCCATGGATTAGAATGGAACGAACAGGTTGAGCGGCTATCTGAGTTTATCTTCGAGACCAAGACCATTCATGGTAACCCACAATTCCAGAAGCCCCACCTTCAGCGCCAGACGTGGGAGTCTCCCAATGGAGAGTACCATAACAAAATAGACCACATCATAGTAAATAGAAGGTTCAGCCTAACCGATGTCGATGTTATCTCAGAATTCTACACGGGATCAGACCATCGTCTCCTCGGTGCAAGATTCTATTTCTCGCGGAAAGGAGGAAAAGCCGACAAATTCAAAAACTGAAGTCCCAGAACCACCGTAAACTGGGACATGTCTAATTAATTAGTCGGCTATTGGGAAGATGCCGTTTCGATAACATCGACGAAAAATACTATCGGCTCATTCAACGTCTTCACGTTTGCGCTATGAAAGTTGAGAGTTCGAAAGTCCCCAAGACACGTCTGTCTCCAGAAACATTCGAGCTGATACGCCAGCGTGAAATCGAACGAGCTGCAGACCACCGAGAGCTAACGTCCGAACTTGCAAAACAATGCAGACAGGCGATAAAACAAGATCTTAAAGGGAGAAGAGCAGCAGTAATAGTCGAAGTTGCAGAGGCTTGGAAAAGCATTTGTAAAGCCTACCGAAGCTTCGCCAATTACAAGATCAAGATGGTTGCACTCCGACGTCCAAACGGAACAGATAGAGCTTCCAGAAAGGCAATGGAGAAAACCAATCACGAATACTACTCGGATCTCTTCGATAGCCACGTCCACGTTTTGTCATATGAAATAAAGGAAGATGGATATGTTGTACCACCGGTTCTTCCTTCGGAAATCTAACGTGGTATTTCGTTGGTGAAAAATCGAACAGCACCAGGTCCGGACAGGATAAAACCAGAACACCTGAAAAACCATCCGCCAGTCCTCGTAAACACACTGGCTCAGTTCTTCACACGTTACCTGTCTGAATGCAAGGTCCCTACTTAGTGGAAGACCAGCAAGACCGTGTTATTGTTCAAGAAGGGTGACCTACACGATATCAGCAACTATCGCCCAATCTGTTTGCTGTCTGACGTCCACATTCTTTTCACTCGAGTCATCCTAAACAAAACTGACAGAACACTGAACGAAGGACAGCCATGCGAGCAAGCAGAGTTTCGAAAAGGATTTAGTACGATGGACCACATCCACACGATAGCAAGACTCAATGAACTATCGAGAGAGTACAGAAGACCGCTCTCTCTCACTTTCATCGATCCACAGAAAGCCTTTGATTCAGTTAAGATGGAAACAGCCTTGGAAACCTTTTATAGTGACGGAGTTCCTACTTAGTACATAAAGAGTCTTCGTGAGCTGTACAAAAATTTCACAACCAAGGTATCACCATTCTACAGCGGTTTTACATTGACGTCAAAAGAGGAGTTAGGTAATGCGATACCATCTCCCCAAAATTACTTGCCGCTACCCTCCAGAACGTCATGCGAACCTTGGAATGGGATAATATGAAAGTGGAAATCGATGGTTGGCAGTTACACCATCCTCGCTCTGCTGATGATATCGTCCTTATAACACCAAACATTAGCCAAGCGAAGCGGTATGCTTGAAGACTTCGATAAAGCCTGTGGAAAGATTGGTTTTCGACTAAATCTCACAAAAACGATGTTTATGAAGAACGAATTGGTTTCGCATGTCCCATTCACGCTTAACGGAACGAATATCTGCGAATGCGCCAGTTATATTTATCTAGGTCGGGAAATCAATATAATGAACGACCTAGCTCCAGAGCTGAGCAGAAGGAAACGAGCGGTTTGGGAAGCTTTCAAGAGCATCGAAGATGTAGTGAAGGGAACGAGGAACACCCGATTCCGTGCCCAACTTTTCGACTCTACGGTAGTTCCTGCCTTAACGTATGCGCCAGAAACATGGTCGCTGCGTAGGCAGAATGAATGGTCTCTCAGCGTTATCGAACACACATTCGAAAGGACGATGTTAGGAGTATCTCGCTATACACAGTTAAGGGATGGGATTTGAAGCTCCGATCTGCGTCAACGATCAAAAATCAAAGATGCCGTTCTGTACGCCAAATGTTCGAAGATAAGGTGGGCCAGAAACGTAGTGCGTATGAATGAGAACCGATGGATATGAGCCGTTAGTGACTGGATTCTTCGGGATGTCAAACTTACTGCAAGACACCACCGAACCGGTAATTAGAGTTTTTCACCAATAGCCTAGAAGAATGATGTGATGCTCAACGAGTCCCTAAAGCGAGCAGAACCCACTGGGCTACTCTTGCACGTGGCAGGGAAAAATGGAAGCTTTATTGGCGCCCGCTCTAGTCACTCGACGATCCACGGGACTACGGGGGTGGTACAGGTGGGACAGTTTCGATGACACGTGCAGAGTGATGGTATATAGTTATGACAGTTAATCGGGTGTTGTGCATTGTCTCGGAAGGCAGCTGGTTAACCACATCTGATGTTCCAGCCTTCAACTCGCGTCATTTACGCCAATTTTGTATGCCTCTATCGTTCTCTGATCTTTGATTGAACTTTCTATATAAAGAAACTCTACGCTTAGAGGAATATCTTTACCCACCATAACTGACCACCTTTTCTCTATTAGATCGTCGTGTCGTGTATGAAGAATTTAATAATTTTAAGCTATTAAGTACATGGTAGTACTAAAATACAGCGTTTTTGTAGCCTTTTCTTCTAGACCGCTGAGTTTCTAAGTTAAAATTCCAAACATGTTTTGACTCCTGATAACCCTGGTAAGAGGTACGTACGCACAAATGTCGATCGTGCTTCAACAATCTCATAGCCACAAAAAGGTGACTGGTCATAAGAGTGGGTGGGGGGAGTGAGGATCAATGATATTAACAATGCTAATAAATAATAACAACAATAGATACTAATAATACTAGTAGCAATTAATACCAATGATAACAATGGTAGTAAGTAATAATCGATAATGGCAACAACATTTATATGCATAATATACATGGGTGGAGTTAAGGTATTTAAAATGTTAGTAAATTACACTTGGATACTTGAATACTTGGATGGCCCGTCTTCACTGGATGTAAGATTCTCGGCATAATTTCAACTGTTTCGGAGTTCTGTTGGTCCAGCCATTGTAATTCCTGTAGTCCCAATGTCAACCAGGCCAAACTGCTGGTTCAGTTTGCGAGACTCTGCAGGGGAGAATTCCTCCATTGTGCATCGCAATCCGACACCCAGGAACACCTCCCAGCCACGATGAGGCAGTAAACCATCGGAAGGAGTAAATGAATAATAATAACGATTAGTAATAGTAATAACAATCACAGTCGTTAACAATTGATAATATCAACAACGTTAATATACATAACATGAAAATACATATTTTACAATAACAATAGTGAAAGTAGCCGAGAGAAAAGCAACTGGAGGCTTCAGATGTTAGAGTGGGTAGCACACGAGGTCCAGGTAAAGGTAATGACATTTTCGAACCCACACGAGGCTCCAAGTTTTGTTCATGTCTCAGTATCACTGTTGTTGCCATTCATATTCAGCCAAGCTATGGTTAGAATATAAATATTTAATAATTGCTCTCCGAAGTGTCATTTATGTGAATGGTGAACACTCAAATCACTATTGATAGTATGTGAGTCTATAAACAGTGCTAAGATTCTATTTATTTCTGCCTTTCTAATTGCTTTCGTCGGACTCCGATTTACCTTTGAGTTACAGGATGAGAATTATAATAATTGTATTGTTGGCCAGTACTCTTGAAGCAGGGATAGTCGATTTACCGAACTATGTAAAGTTTTTCATGCAACACCTTTCCAAAAATGAACTGAAGCCTTTTATTTTAAGCTCGATCATACTCTTTTTAGGAGCGGAATGCGATGGATACAAAGAAACTTCTCGAGCAAATGCACGAAATGGAGGATGAAATAAATGATGAGCTCAGTTTAACTGAAGAGCGGAATGCTGAGTTATCGAATGAGATGAAGGTCAGCGGATGGGTTTTCTCATGAGGGTCGATCAAGAAGTAACATTGGGTCTTAGAATTATGTCGAAGTCAAGAAGGACCACATTAAAGCAGCGGGTGATACAATCGAAGAAATCAACCAGAAATCCAATGTCGACACTGCGCTGTTTCAAGGAGACATGCTCCTCACTAAGTTTGTTCGCTTATAGGTTCTGCTCTTATGTCGTATTACCTCCACATGCCTATCTTTTTTCTTAAGAGAACAAGCCGAGGAGGTTATTGATGATATTAAAGGGAACGAGGGCAATCGCAATAAGCGACAAGCATACCGTGACGGATACTATCCTAGAACGCTGTGGTCAAATGGAGTGTATTACTCCTTCCATCGAACCACAAGTTTGTTTTTTCAACCCTTTTGCTCCCAATGTAGCATATTAAGTGCAAAATGCAAATAATTTAACAAAAAAACTTTAGGCAGAGAAGCAAGAAGTGTATTCAAGAAAGCTGCGGCGGCCTGGCAGAGCGAAACTTGCATTAATTTCTCGGAAAGCAACACAGGTCTGATAATGACAGAAATCGTTAAAACGTTAGAATTCAAGGATTACATAATGAAGAAATTTCAAGCATCGAGTAGAATAGTCCTTATCAAAGCAAATGGCTGCTGGTCCATGGTTGGAAGAGTTGGAGGAGTGCAGCGCATGTCACTTGGAAGGGGATGCGAATCGGTATAATCTACAAATTTTTTTCATCGTGTTTTTGGATAGCTACATCTGCAGGTTGGAACTGCTGCGCATGAGATTGGCCACGCTTTGGGCTTCTTCCATACGCAGTCAAGACACGACCGAGACAGTTTCATCACGCTTTATACCCAAAACTTCATGGTGAACCTGAGATGAAGTAGCAGCATAAATAACTAATAGTGGTGGAAACGTGATTCCAGGATGGCTGGTTGTCTCAATTCACAAAACAAAGCCAAAGGTCTAACTACAACTATAACCTAACCTACGATTACGGAAGTGTTATGCATTACGGTGCAACGAGGTAGGCATGCTCAAACTCAAGGTTTCAGTTGGAAGTCATGTAAATGTTTAAGCACTTTAATTACAGTGTCTCGAAGAATAACAAGCCGATTATGGTGCCACGCGATGTTAAATATACGCAAACCCTTGGATCACCAATAATTTCATTCTATGAGAAACTTATGATGAACATGCACTATAAATGCCTAGGTTAGAAAAAGCTCTGAGGAAATACGACTTTCCTTCATTTTTCCTTAACATTTCAGTCTAACATAAAATTAATTTAGATAAATGCAATGCACCGTCCTCAGCTACTTGTAAAAACGGTGGGTTCCCCCACCCAAGGACCTGCACTAGATGCATCTGTCCTAGCGGCTATGGTGGAAATCTTTGCGATAGCAGAGTAAAAAATTCTCACTTAAACCACTCCTCTCTTGGAGTTCATGCAAATGTAATGATCACTTTTTCAGCCAACAGGTTGTGGTAGGACACTGGGGGCAACGACCTCTTTCCAGACGCTTACGGATACTGTCGGTGGAAGAACAAGCGATGACTTCACTATGTGCAACTACTGGATTCAGGCATAAAACTTTATTCTAGACTGGAATGCTATTGACACTAACACAAAAATCCTTTAAGGCACCAGCTGGATCCAAAATTGAAGTTGTGCTCGAAAACTATACGAGGGGCTTTGCTATCGACGGTTGCACATATGCAGGAGTGGAGATTAAAACAGGAAGCGATAAGCGTCATACTGGTTACAGGCAAGCGTCAAACTCTCAGAAAGTTAACTCCTTTAAGTCGCTTTTATGTATCGAAATGTTCAGGTTCTGCGCTTTGGAAAATGTCGGGACATCTTTGGTTTCTACTCACAACATCGTGCCTGTGATTACTTACAGCAGATCCCGTGCTGCGACAACCGTTTTACGTTATCGAATTAGTAACGTTATATGAAAGGATAGATTTTTTTGACACTATGAAAACCATGCACAGAGTACGATTTTTATTGGTTTTTATATAATTCTTCTCGAATAAAAATGTTCATTCATACGTTCGCGGTTTAGCACATCTATTTGTTTAATCATCTGTCTTCATAAGCACACCCACCCGCCCACCCACACACACGCCCACGCATTCACCCACTCAAACACCTGCCTCGTGCCTAGCCACAAATACATCACACACGTCCACTTACACTTACAACATGTACACCTGCCCGCACCGACATGCATACACACATTCGCATGCATATGCACACCCATCCACACAATTTTTGGGAATAAACACAGATATCGATGCATATTCAAATAGGCATCGGTTCACGTTGTCAATACAAAACCGTCTGGCCCACTCACGACAGCATCCTATTGCTTGGCTGGCCTAATGGAAAACTAGCAGTTTTTGCACGTCTGCAGGTGGAAGGATAATCGATGAAACTCTCGGCATTAATCAGTCTCTTAGAGATGCACCATGCATTGGATTTCGTTAAGCATCGTTTGGAGGTGATTGAGTGCATATCTGGCCTCTACAATGGCTCACGGTGGCCTACCGATGTATCGAGCCAGTGTTACTATCCTCCGAGACAAGTCTGATACCAATTTGCTGCCCCGGAGGAATGGAAGGCTTGATGAACCAGGGGCGCGGGAATCGTGCCCATGTGTATTGAAGGGCGCCTCCGACAACTGTACCACGCTAGCTCGGCTGAGGGTATTCTGGTTCTCTTTACGATAAAAATGATTTTTCAGAGACTAGATAGTTTTATGTGTAGGGTATGCATGCTACTATTTATTTCGTGCTACTATGGCTCGTCATACAAACACACTGCTGCCGGCATTTGGAAGCATTTTGCAGCTTATATTTTTTTATTTCGTTAATTTTACACCAGCTCACTCCAAACGGTAACCACAGCGGTTGAAACTTAATAACGGCTTATCATTGGTCCAAATGCCTGTCCAAGTATCGTGGTCAAAAAATAGATATCTGTGAAAGTTCCTTTATTGGAAAGCGTCCCGCAATAAGTGGCAGTGATAATGCCTTAGATGATTGAGTGATAAACGCGGATGGCGTATTCCCCAAATAGTTCCTATTTTCTATATCACCGAATGTTTCCTATGCTAGGTTTACTGTTAACCACATTTGTCCTGGCTTTTTAGACTATATCTATGGACCATATTCTCCACAAACAACGAATGCTTTTAATATATTCATGCAGTTTCGTTCTACTTTCCGCAAACCGCTTGCTAGGGGCTATCTCATGCACTTCGTAGCTCGTTGAAGAGGGGTCCTGTTGGGACGGCTCGTTGATACAGGAATACCAAGTAGTTAGGACAATTCGGTCGGAATTAGCTGCTCGCCTTTGTGTACGCCACGCGAGACTTCTTGTGTTTAGCAGTCACAATGCCGGACACCTCAAACTTGGGTAATTAAACCGTTTATCATAATTATACAGCAATTATAACAGTACAATACAATTAATGCAACAATGATACGGGTAATGAGTAGGCGCAGCCTGATCACTGATGTTCAGTTTGCTTACGAGTGAAAAGATTGGCATAACAGTATAACTGTATAATTAATGCAACGATGATACGGGTAATGAATAGACGTAGCCTGATCACTGGTATTCAGGCTGCTTATGAGTGGAGAGATTGGCATGTGACTTTTACTACATGAGATGGATGTGAGGCACGAATGCGGTGACTTGGGCAGCATTTCTGTGACAAGAGCTAGCTAACCGTGGAGCCGTTTATATACCTTTGCGCTGGGCGGAGTCAGATTACAGTACGCGGAGTCGGGCTACAGTAGGCAGAAAGACGGGTACTGGAAACATTTCTCAAGCCTTGCGATCTGATAGGGCGATATTCAAAGCCTAGGAGCGTAAGTGCAGATATTTTACGAGATAGGCGCCAGCGAAATGTTAGACATACGGCTATCAGATCGTCATGGAGAGAAGATCATGGGAGAAGCATTTGAAATGCTTAGTAAGGTTTGAATTGTTTTACATAGAGAACATTCCAATATTCGTGAAGAATGTTCTCTATAGGTCCTATATTTTTTTGCAAACGATCATCTTTGTCAGGCACTTCGGGCGCTGCATATACTTCCTCACATCTGGCGTTTTGTGACACAACCAAATCAGTTTTCTGTCTACACATCTGAATTCGTAAAAACGTAGGTTAAAATTTACTAACGCCCTGTAGCAATGTCTTTTGCCTTCAGACGAAGCGTAGAGAGCGCCATCATCCTTTCACACCACTCAGTCTTCTTCAATTTACATAGAATAAGAAGCAGCTAACTCGTTCTCACACCAGTGTACCATCGCCATAAAAAACAAAAAAGGATAAAGTTCTCGGCGTTGATCAATTCTTGAGGGATGCGCCATGCATTCAAGTTCATTAAGCATCGTGGGAAGTGACAGAACGTATATCTGGCCTTCAGAATGACTCGCGTGGCCTACCGATGTTTCGAGCCATTGCTGCTATCCTCCCAAACATGTCAGGTACCAATTCGCCGACCCCGGATGGATGGAAGGCTTGATAATCCTTAGGCGCGCGGATTAATCCCATTTGTGTGTATTGCAGGGTACCCCAGACCACTGCTCCACACGGTCACTCCATCATCGCTATATTAAAGTTATTGTCAATCTTCGTGTAACCGCCTATGCTTCCTTAGTCTAATGATTGTTTGAAATACTTAAGCTGTTCGAAAGTGTTAACTTCATTGCACTGTTATTATAATCTCACACCTGCCTTACAAGATGTCCATTTTGTAATGTTGTACTCCACATCATACTCGCATGTCATATTCCGTCACTAGCCTATGAGAGAACTCTCTTCTTTCAAAGGTCACCTCTCGTTCATCATCTTTCCCTCTCCTATTCACAGCCACTCCCGCCTTGTCGCTTGTATTGTTTTCGTATCAGCATGTCGGCATAATTGTATTGTTGTTCTCATAAACGATTTAATTGTCGAATCTTGAGATATCGCTCTGTAGCGGTCGAAAAGACTCGGGTGGCAAATTCCTGCAAGTTTGCCCATTCCACTTGGAGTAAGCGATTATTAGGTGTCGAGAACCGACTCGAAAACCTACTTTTTACTGGATTTTTTATTTTTTTATTTTTCTACATTTATGGTGCATTAGTTTGGCTGCTGTGGTTCCCATAATCACTGTTAAATTAATGCTATGGACCATTGGTAGGTTCTTCAAGATTTTCGTTTGAAATCAAAAGTTTCGCTGTGAGTATGACCTACGAGTATTGCGTGGGCTAGGGTTTTCTCTTTAATAAGATCTTTCACTGTCGTAATTGTTGGTAATACCTAAGAAAAAAACACAAAAGAGAAGAAGTGCAAAACTCCATTTTGGTGAGGAGCATAGAAAGTAAGCTAACAACTGTTACGTAGACGTAGATGCAGTGATGAAAAGAGATCCGCGAAATTCACTGAATATTACATCATGGTTGTTAAAAGCGGTTCTAATATTTCAATCCTAAGTATGATTCGTTTCAAGCTACCCTCCATATCAGACGCCATTAAAAGCTGCCAAAGAAGGAGCGTCTTGAAAGTTATGTGGCGATTATTGACCTCTTACCCAATGCCCTACGCCACCAGTTAGTTCGCAACCGCCTCTATGATCGTTTGTGCAGTTCAGAAAACTGTATGATCTGTCCTAACGGGAGAGACGGCGATTGCATGAGTTCAGGAACAACAAATTTAATCTCATATAGTGCATGCCGTGAAGAATACATTGAGGAAATGGGCAGCTTTGTGCCTGCATAAAAAAGCATTAAGATGAGAAAGTTAAAATTCGACGAAGTACTCCTCTAGGTACACATAGAGGGCACAAAAGCACAGTGGTGTTGTTTTTGAAGTTGCTGTCCGGACCTTAGCGCAGTAATCAAAAACGTCAACGCACAAGACTCCTGAAGCTTATAAATTTCAAAAATCCGAAGATGCAACGGAAAGGATGCCTCACTATCACAAGTGAACTGGCGCCTTATTTCAAAATGATTTTTCGACGTGGATGGGTCCTACTCCTCATCACACATGAACAACACACAGATGATCCCACACACAACAGTGCGATGAATAGTTTATCAACAAAGAAGCGTTGATAGAGTGATAGAAATACCATCGCACACTCTAAGACGCCAACTAGTTCGCAACCGCCTATATGACCGTTCATGTATAACGAAAAACTGCATAATTTACCCTAACGATAGAGACGGTGATTGCATGAGTTCGGGTACAGTCTATCTGATCTCTTGTAAAGCGAGCGGGGACGAATACGTTGGCGAAATGGGTAGACCGCTCTGCGTCCGCATGAAAGAACACCTAGTCGGCAAATCTAAATTAAAACAAAATACTCCACTAGGCACGCATAGGATGCAGGAACACAACGGAGAAGATTTTGAGGTAGAAGTCACTATCCTTGCACAGCAGTCCGGAAGATCAGCGCGTAAAACTCTTGAAGCGCTTTGGATTAGTTCCAAAAATCCAGAGATCAACTGCAAGAAGTGTCTTGTTATCACGCATGACCTCGCACCATACCTCAGGCTGATTCAATGACCTAACGCATGCACAGTTCCCGCCTATGTACTACTTTGTGTGGCTCCTCTCCACAAAGTAATAGGAATGCTTCCCGAGAATAAAATGGTTGGTATTTAGAAGAAGCCGGTTATTATAAGAATGCGAATTTATATGTTAATTATTATATGCTAAAGTTATGAAAGTGTTTGGCTAAGTAGTTCGCATGGCAATTTGACCTTTCCAGGCTCTGAAGAAGGTGAAACCGCCGAAACGTCAGTTATTGTACTCTAATAAATTCTGTAATAACAACTTTGTGTCCGCTTATTGAAGAAAAACACAAAGAAGCGTTAACTTATCTGTCAGATTTTAATGAATGCGATGAAAAATTATACGACTCTTGTTACATAAACTATGCCCAGGTTCTGAGAAAGGCGGAATCGCAAAAAGGTCAGCCATCGAACAACAACAACAACCACGACGACGACGATGACAGTCTATCCTCGCATCGGCTCAACATGGGCCGTTCCCAAGAACATATTATTAACAATAAAAACACTAATACATTCGTGGCGATGTACGATTTTTAGTTGCGTGCCTTATCTATCGAACTAATTGCATTAAATTGGGCATGCCCCTAAATTGGCTAGTTTGTTTCGGAATGCCTCCGTTCCAACCTACCTCACAGGTCTTCATTTTGTACCACAGTCCATAACTTTAAACTTGGATGATTTCACCTTCACCTAAACAATAACCCGATTACGGCATTAAGAAAATAACAAATTTGAATTTCCGTAAGAGTTAGAACATTTTCATTGAACCGGTCGCTAACATGTAAAAAGGCTTCATGCGGCAAAACTAATGGCCGAAAGCAAAATGGATCATACATGACTTCCATCTACCAGTTAGAGCAGAAATGAATCACGTGTGTCTCATCTCGGTGGCAATAGATTAAGATTTTACGAGGATTTAATAGTTTTCAGATGTCTGAGTTTTAAATAGCCACGAAGCAATAGAAATCAATCATTTATACAACCACAACGTTGCTGAGATATTTTCAAAACTCGGTGTCTCCGCAGGTGTCTATGGTGGGGAATGAACGCGCTATTGTCCTTTCCGGGGAGTAACGCGTTCACCACCACACCATGCGGGTCCTTCGTTTCGCTTGTCTCTCAGCTATTTCTATTTCTATTTCTATTTCTATTTCTATTTCTATTTCTCAATCATTTATCTGAAGACATTTATAACATCTGTTATGATTTGAATCTGAACAAAACATCAGAGAAAACAATATTTGTTGAGAAACGTAGGTTATTCGGGTGATTGATACTGAGCATAGTGCAACCAGTAGGCGATGTTGAAGGATAAAAACAGCAACGGAAACAGTAACCCTGAAATGTGGCTTATACACACTGCTGATTAACTTCCACTTATTCTGTATTCATATTTCCCATATTTTTTTAACGATTTTTCTTCCGAACTCTGTGTTTATCGACCGATGAATAATAAGGACATACTTGATATCAAGTCCGCCCTCTTAACTTCGTCGTGCCAGTCAATGTTCTGCGTCAACCACCTTAATATTTTTGATGCAATAATCTGCATGTTAACAGAACTCTAAAGTGTTTTAAGGCGGGGTTGTTTTTAAGATGAGCCAAGATGCACCATACAACAGTCTATCAAAGGGGAAATTCTCACCGACGGAATGAATGCTGTTGATGTCGCCGGTTCTGCAACACTTTAGTCTTCACATATTTCTGATCGAGAGCTATTCGAGGCACCCAGACATCCTCACTGGTCTTTACAACTACTGCTTTATTTCTTTTTTCTTTTCCTAAAGAATGTACTACATATAAAATATTTTAATAAAGAGCAAACAAAAATTTAAAAGTACTATTTGAGAGTGATCGATTGGCAAGGTAGGTGACCCAGGCAAACTCGAGCAAGGCGCAAAAAATGAACGTCAAACAAGCTGAAATCATCCTCGTTTAAAATTGAATCTTATTGGAGTAAAACCGACTCCATTTTCCACATTATATAAACTCGGATATCAAGCCGTTTTAAGAGTTCTCCAATGAATGGCAAGTGCAAAATTTCGAAAATTCGTACCTTTCTAGGATACAGACCAGCTCAGATTTTCTAAAAACGAAACAAATGCCCTAAATAAATTATCCTGCAGATACTTGGTTGCTGCATAACCCCTTACCGTCTTTCAACCCATCGTTGTTCATTACTTGCTCCCAACTCTCGATTTTCTAAGGACCTCAACGCTCCGTTCATTTGGCTGGTTCTCTTACATTCTTCATCTACGAAACGTGTTCAAATTTGCTCGTATGGCGTACGGCTGACACTTGAGATTTTTGTTTTTCTGAATTTTGTCGATTGCTGATCGAATTCGTTCTCCTAAAATTCCTAGGGTAGTTCTGTCTGTGACAGCAGTCCTAGGCCTTTACCAAGGAAGCAGTCGCCGATCTTTGTGAATTAGAAGGAGCTTTTCCGAGACCAGCCTTGTACCAATTTGCCAACCTCGAAAAATAGGAAGCTTGTCTAGCATAGGCCGTGTCGAACCAGAAAGAGCGCATGTATTGCACGGCACTTCTAGTCATTGTTCTCCCTGCCCCACCTGAACTTTGTTTATATTCACCAGAAAAATATGCTTTGGGAGTCAATGAAGTGGTTGGGGATACTTTAAAGGTATTCGCAGTCTTCAAACTTCTTTCTCGTAGTTGATATCCTGGGTCATAAGCAAGTGATAAGGTTATGTCACAACGCTTTGTACATTCAATACGGTAATCTACCGAAATTACTGCTCTCCCTGTGAGCCCTCTTTAGCCTAAAAGAGACTGAATTTGGCCATTTGAAAACCGGACTGTGAATCGCTTTCTTCCAGTTATCCTAGAGTGTAGTAGCGAGCATACAGAGCTACTCTGTGTAAGTGCTTGCAGATTTCAACTTCTCTTTCTAACCCAGACTACAGAGGGTTCCAAAGCATACCCCGATTGAAAACCGATAAAAACGATTAATTCTTGACTAAAAGCAAATAATGCTTATGAGTCAACAATGTGAAATCGAAATATCAAGAAAACTGAAGTGCAGGTGAGAAACCTCCTATCCAGACATCGATCGCTTTGATATAGGCAACTGGTGGAAGCTTAGCGTTTATGCCTGACGACTGAAATGAAATCGAAGCCATAAATAAGGAAATCAATTAAGCACAATTTATTCTTAAGGGAAGTCTAGAATTTATCGCTCATTCGTTACTACTCTTAATTTAATCGACCTTGAATAATAATCAAAGACTTTTAAATCAGTTTTCTTGCCAGGATCTGAATTTCCGGTGTTGAAGACGTGGAAATGGATCAAACCTGCGTGGTCATTGTGAGTAGTGTGGTGACCCCAAGCGTAACCCTAGCCGGCACAGCCGTGCGATCAATCCAGAACGAAACCCAAGACACGATAACAAGCATACATGATGGAATGTATAGTTGAAGGAGATAGTAACTAAAAATTTTATTGCTTTAATTACCTTTTAGAGTATTTCTGGAAAGAAAATGGTTTAAAAAATACTGCATTAGCGATTAGTGAAGAGGATTGGCGATTCGTACAATATCACTATCAATGTCACATGCACTTACAGAACTGTCGCTTCTATCGTTGAAATTGTTGTTATAAATGTCATTATTATTATTTGTTCACTTTACTTTTCTCGAAAACAGTTCAGCCAGCAATAAATTCCTCGTTGCTCTCAATGAAGTCTACCATTTTTTGAATACTTGAGCTCCTTCTACCAAAACATAGAAAATGGGAGCTAAATATATGAGCGAGGACGTTTATCATACTGATGTAGTTGTACTACTTCTTGTTGCGCAGACGACGTCCTAGCGCTCATAGTGAGGTATAGTGTAGTCCAAACGAGGTTGACTACGGGCCAACTTTTTGACATGACAGAGTGTTTTACGCAAAGCACACTCGCAGCTGCTCGTTTGTGTAGCGGTTTCCTTTAAGCGTGTGTTTCCGCTCTACATGGCATGGTCGACAGAAAGTCGAAGTAGAGGCCTGGGTCGGTGCGATGGATATCACGGAAGTACCCCGTAAGAGTAGTCACGGGATCGAAGCCCACCTTAGGTCCCGTGTTTTCCTCATGGCTCAGAATCCTTGTGATTGTATTTCTCATCGTTTCCTGTCATGAAGACGACGAAGCAGTAAATATGGGTTAAAATATTATCTTCATAGAAAGCCACAGCTACATCTTGGCAAGCTACTTTATATCTGTGAATTAGATTCTGACTACTAAATAAATGAATGAGCTGACCTTAACTGCCGCCGCAATTGTAGAACGGTTCTAAGGCAAGAATAGGTGCCAGTGTTGGTCTTGCTTGTGCAGTAGGTTGTCGAGACGTTATTCAACTGAAACGACGGCAACGACGACGAGAGGCCATGCTTCAACTGTACTGGATCGTGGCTCTTCCACACGTATTCTGCAAAGTTGTTCCTATCTTTCACCGAAAGAAAAACAACCTGAGGTATCCTTATTTTTTTTAGACGAGCCGTGCTCTTTGTCGTCGACAAGGCCCTTAATAATTTTTGTTCTTCTTTTACATCTCGAATGCAAGTTTCACGTTCATTTTTGTTATAACAACGAATAGACAGCTACAAAGACTGCGTTTTGTCTCCTATAGGTGAAAACGCGATCACGTGAAGAGATTAAGGAGAGTTTAAAAACCCAAATAGAAGACCAGGTGTATATTTCGGATGCAAGTCGCAAAACATTGCGCTGCACTATGCGCACTTTAAAGTGGGAGGAAATGAAACGGTTTCCTAATCTTTGGTGACCAGTGAAGCAGTATTCGCTCTCAGCTATGAGCTTTTCTTTCGAATCACCGCTCACGAGGAGAGAATCTTTTCCGATTCATATTTGCGCTAACATCAGGAAGGTTAACTGTATTAGGGATTACCACTCTCAGTAAATCTCTAATAGTTTGGATGCTCGACATAGGAATAATCGTCAAATTAAAAAAAAACAGTGTCTCGCATATGCCGCTTAGCTAGATTTAAATCGTTTTACCATCCTTATCTGACCTGCCAATCGACTACTCAGGCGATTCTCTGCTCTAACAAGATTCGCACTACTTACCCATTCCACGAAAGCAAGCACGTGTTGTGATAGTCTGAGAATACTCCATTATTCTTTTTTAAGCGGATATCTTCGATTTGTTAAGAAAAACTCGCCTAACTAGGATTTAGATATTATTTAGCGGAGTTCATATACCCTTAAGAAGCAAGAGATTCCAACCCTGAATTTAACCTCCTAAACAACAATGGTTGGAAGATTATGGAACTAATCAAGCTGCTTGGAGTTGAACGGACCGTCTAGGAATCGAAGCAGTGATAATAAATCAGTGACTAGAAAGTGCGAAGCAAACAATTTGCCACTGTTCATGAAATTATTTACGGGACTGTGAACGCTCACCGAAGATTAATAAACCAAAAAAAGAACTTGCTATCACATTACTCATATATTTCCAACGTGTTCCTCAAATTCTGCATTAATTTACCACGGTGAACCTATGAAATCTATTAAACAACTTGTATGGAGGTCATTACTTGCCTTGTAAGGAATCTCCGTTTCGGCACAATATCATACGCTTTCATCCGAGAGATTTAGTGCTTCATGGTGGCTGAGAGGTGCACCTGGTTGTCGGGCTGCGATGTATAGGAAGGGTTTCATCTTCGTTACAGGGTTTCCCAAGCTGAAAACGATTCCGACGTTTTCATCCGAAAGCCCAGTTATCTTTAAACCAATGCTAGAAATCATCACCGTACTGACATAAAACTATCGCATTATGCCAAATCCACCAGTGATGCACAACAACGGCGACTGCTTGGGGTGGTGACGACCTGAGAAAGGCTTCAGGGCTGCTGGGAACCACAATGTTTAAACCAACAAGTCCCCGAACAATGGAAAATATGATGGGCCCATCAGTGAAGACGGGTGATCCAAGGATCTATGTAAGCAAATACCACACGCTTTCCATGAGAGATGCACATTGCTTCATTTATACTTCTTGACAGTTAATGACAATGTGAAAGACTTTACTCGCTGTATATTCCCTGCATCGATACCTAGCAAAACTCGTAAGGCATATAAACATTACATGCCCACAGATACCTGTCCACCGTTTCCGACCACTTCAAACAAAATACCATTACACCACTGACCTCCATAGTGATGTAACCATCTGATTCTCATCCCCCATTCTGTGAAGTATACTGCAAATCTCAGGCGTTTCCATCAGATAATGAATGACCGTATAACAAGTCTCTCGCTTCACAAAATGCTACGAGGCAGTTGTAGAAGTCTCAATGTTATTGCAAGTGCACCTTCATGCCGGCGTTGCCTCTGCTTATTGATGTCACTAGATATATGTATGTAGTAACATATATGTATATATACATATATATATATATATATGGTTACGCAGTAACGCATGCGTATATCAGCATATATGTGTATATATGCATATATATATATATATACATTGGGTAGATGCTTGTTGATCTCGTTAAATTGCTTACTTGGATACTTGGATGGCCCGTCCTTACTGGCTGTGCGGGCCCCAGCGTAATTTCCTTTTTTCGGAGTTTTGCTGGACCAGCCATTGTGGTTTCCTCGTGTCCCGTGATCAACCAGGTCAAAGCGCCGGCTCAGTTTGGGAGACCCTGCAAGGGAGAATCCCCCATTGTACATCGCAGCATGACACCTAGAAACACCTCCTAGCCAAGATGAGGCGCTAAACCAATAGGAGGTCTCGTTAAATTTGTTATTTACATGTCATTATCATTTGTATAAGAATATAATTACCAAGGTTTTTACAAGATCGACCGCAGCGCCACTGCAAAGGTCACATATAGCCGGCCAAAAGAAGACAAGTACACTAACACATGTGCAAACTGACACATCTTATTTACCATTGTGGTAATGAGTATCTGCCAGACGAAATCGCTAATATTTTTCCAAACATATTATAACCTGGTGAGTTATAAAAACTATTGGAGATTGTGTTACACTGCCAAAATGCTACAAGCCTTTCGAAAATGACAAGGAAAAGAGTTCTACAAGGGAACCGTTGCAGAACCGGCTTACCGATGTCCTTTGTGGTATACGCGTACGAAGCAAGATCAATATAGCACTGTTGAACGTCCATTGGATAGAACTGGAACAAGATTGTCAAAACATGGATAGATTTTTAAGCCGCTATTCACCAAAAACTTTTTTAACCCTTTTATTTACTGCCTTTTTCTTCTTAATGGCAGGGTATTTTGCGAAATATAACTAGTATGAAATGCTGGGATATTTGCAAAACTCCGGATCACAGGTGAATGCGGTGGGGGACAAACGCGCGTTGTTGTCCTTACCGGAGAGTAGTGCACTTCGGACCAAACGAAGGACTCGGATGGTGTAGTGGTGAAGTGCGCTGCTCCCCGGTAAGGACAACAGCCCGCGTTCGTTTCTTACTGCATACACCTGTGGTCCGGAGTTTTCCAAATATCTCAGCATTTCATACAAAATTTTTTGTTTAAATTTATGAGGGTTCGATCAAAGGGAAACGGATTTGACAGGGATTAGTGTTAGGATTTTTGTGATAACCAAAGTTGTCCTCCCATTCTTCAGAAACGAGGTAATTTTTTCAGCGTCCAAGCTTTCTTCATGAATTTTAGTTCGTAGCGAAATTATCGAGTGCACCCTAGTTTACTAGTATAACTGAAAAGACCGACTTTCTATAAACCTCGGCATGAGTAATCTTAACTGTTTTATTTACTATCTTAACCCTTTTTATTTACTGCCTTTTTCTTTTTAATGGCAGGGTATGTTGCGAAATATAACTCGTATATAATGCTGAGATAATTGCAAAACTCCGGACCGCAGGTGTATGCGGTGGGGGACGAACGCGCGCTATTGTCCTTACCGGAGAGTAGTGCACTTCGGGCGAAACGAAGGACCCGGATGGTGTGGTGGTGAAGTGCGCTACTCCCCAGTAAGGACAATAGCGCGCGTTCCCTCTCCACCGCATACACCTGCGGTCCGGAGAGTTTAGCAAATATTTCAGCATTATGTAGGTGTTTTATTTACTGCCTACTCTTTTTAATGGTAGGGTATATTGCGAAATATAGCTTCAATGATGCTGAGATATTGGCGAAACTCTGGACCACAGGTGTCTATGGTGGGGAACGAACGCGGTTTTGTCCTTTCCGGCGAGTAACGCGTTCACCACCACACCATGCGGGTCCTTCGTTTCGCCTGTCTCTCAGCTAGTTCTATCGATCGCTTGCCAACAGCAATCACTCGTCAACGGGATTGATATGGGGAGCCCAAATCGGCAATGAACCAAGTTAAGCTGAGGCTTCAGTTATAATCACAATCTTAACCGTTTTATTTACTGTCTACTCTTTTTTACCCTTACTTACCCTGCCATTAAAAAGAGTAGGCAGTAAATAAAACGGTTAAGATTGTGATTATAACTAAAGCCTCAGCTTAACTTGGCTCATTGCTGATTTGGACTCCCCAGACCAGTCCTCTTGACGTGCGATTGCTGACGGCAAGTGGTCGATAGAACTAGCTGAGAGACAGGCGAAACGAAGGATCCGCATTTTTATCCCTTTAATGCTACTGAATAATGGTTTTCTCAACGTCTAGATCGATATTACGGATTTTTCGCTGGTTTCGAATATTCGACAACATCAAGGAACAAGATTTTCAGGAAAGGATCAATATGGTTGTTTTTTGTTACAGTACATGCTATCCAAATATTGATGGTCCACTAAGCTGTAGTGATTGTACCGTAAATCAGACATATTCATGAACAAAAAGTAATACGCAAAATAAGATGGTTTGTGTTACCTGTAAATGCATCGGGCAGGACAGAACCATTGATATTCGCACCGAGTAGAGGATCGTACCGTCTTTATGCACTCTAATCAATACATTCGGCTTGTCGATCATATGTTTATATGCGTGTTTCTCATTCTGAAATGTTTTTTCCTACGTATAACAACTCATTATTGTTTCGGAAAGTGTTAAAGTCGTTAAGAGATAAATAACCCGATTTGATTCCTTAAATGGAAACAGAAGAAGAAAACTGGAAAGGAGAAACCCATCACCAGAGCCGTACTTTTGCATCGAACAATCGACAACATCACAATAAACAGTACATCAAAGAACCTAAGCCGTTGTAGATTTTTAAATACAAAAGTATAGTAATGAAGAATAAATCTAAGGAACGTGGGAGAAATTGCACAAAAAGGATGGTCTGCTGAATTATAGGATTAATGGAGAATTATGTCTTTGACTAAGAAATTTTGACAGACGGCTAGAATTAATCGTTATGGAATCTCTTGCAGATCATGAAATCCCGTTTCCTATTTTGGGTTTGGTAGCTTGTCGTTTTATTAATATGAGAACTCGCTATTCAAGCACCTTGTCCGGCTTTCCTGAGGTTCCACGTAGTTTTCCGGATTCCGTGATTTTTAAAGTTTACCTAGGTTTTCCTAATAACGTGCAACTCCTCTTTTTATTATAACTAAGTGATTTTCAATTTATTTCAAGCAATACATGCGGCTGTAAGAATAAATTGAGGTTACGGCACCTGAAAAAATGAATCTGGCATCCAAATCTGTTTGCCGGTAGTGAGAATCAGAAAATCAGGATGATCGTCGTTTTTCTCACCATATCTGAAACTATGAGGAAAAGGAAAAGGAAGAAAAAAAGAAAAACATACCGTGGAAAAATTAATGACAAAGCCTTCGTAAAATATTAAACTCTTATGCCCACACATTCTTTCCCATCTCTTTTTTGTTCCGAAAATCCTCCAACGTCCATCTCCTTCACGAGCGATAGAATGGCTGAGACAAGTAAAACACTTATGAATCAAGCAGTCCATTTAGTCGCATTAACAGAAAGAAAACAGCTTTATCTCTATTACGTCCATGTTCATTTTTGTTTCTTTATTCTTCATTTACCTCCCACTGGTTTGCGGCCCCATCGTGGCTGGGAGGTGTTACTGGGTGCCGCACTGCGACGCACGGCGCGGGATTCGTCCCCCTGGCAGGGTCTCCCAGCTGAGAAGGAGTCCGGCGTTTCCATCAGGAAACTTAGCCAAGAGTAAACCAATACTAGGATCCATCGCCGTCCTGGTATCAAAGTCGCATGGTGGCAGATCTCCTTCTGACTCACAAGGGCTGCGACTGCCTTTGGTAGTGAAGACTCGGGATTTCAGAGACTCAGAGACCCACAACGGCTTAACGAGCAAATCTCCGAGAAATGGTAATTATGCTGGGGCTCCCCCCCCCCCTTCCCCGATTAATTTTGAAAAAGTCGATGAGCCTCATAGGAATCGTTGACCGGAAATCGTGCATTTGTAAGTAATTTTCATTTCACACCACTTGGAAAGTAATTGTATAATAAAAGTGGTAGTGGAAAATTTGTATTTCCGGAGATTTCACTGTTATTTCATGTCTTAATTAGAGTAAAAATGAAAAAATCTTTGTGGTTGGTAAGCAAAGCACGCTTCAGTATCTTATTTTGTTGTCTTTTATTGCACGGCCTGAGATATCATGTATCACAGTGCTCGGATCCCAGCACTTCCTGATTTCGGTAGATTTTCTCGCTTTAATAATCTATGAAGGTCTCCGAGCTTCTTTTTTGCAGGTGGCTTCGGCTTTTCCTCTAGGAAATTCAGTTTTCTTTACGAATGTTACTAAATACTGGTCGAGTCAACTCTCCTTGGAATTTTGACATAGCCGTGCTGTGGCAGTCTCCCGCGGATTGACGGCAGTGGTCTTATCCAAGACAAGTCTGGTAGGGACTTCCTGACTGCGAAGAGATGAGTGGCTTGATGGGTGCGACAGGTGTCCGAACCAGCGCGTGTACATGTTGTGATCACTACCACTGTGCTACCCACTTTCTTCCTTCAGTACAATTTGATTACAATAATCCCATAATATATTGTCCGAAATAGCCATTACAGTGAAGAACGTCTTTCCAATTTCAATTTTGGTCTTAGAAATGTGTACTGAATAGTTTTATAGAGTCATTGACGCGACTTAGATACGAACTATAAAAGGCACGTGTAATGGCATCGATCAGCAAAATCGAAACGCACTTTAATCGTTCGTCCATCCAACTTTCACGAAACGTCAGCTGTACACTGTATTCCATATTAACATTATCGATTTTCGATATACTGTAAAGAATAATCCATGAGGAAAATAGAGTTTCCAAGAACAACTGTGCTTCGACTGGAAAAATTTTAGTGGTAAACTAGAAACCAGAAAAAAATTGCAGCGAAAAAAAGCAATCTTACCTTCTTATTAACATATTTACATTCACGACAACTGGACCGCTGTAAATCGTACCTATAAGGATGATAGTATTCCAGAAACTTTCATTGCCACAGCTTTTTTTATTTAGGTGTTTCCACTTATTTTTGTTATTTTTTGCAACAGTCAGAGTACTAGGGAAAGAACTGTACAGAATACTTGACGCGTAAAAAGAAAGGATAAATCCTTCGATGTTGATTAATCTCTGAAGAATGCTCCATACTCCAGACTAGGTCAGGCATCATCAAAGATGAATAAACGCATATCTGGCCTTTATGATGACTCGCGGTGGCCTACCGATGTATCGAGCCAGTGCTGCTATCCTCTCCTCCGAGATAGGTCTGGTGCCAAGTTGCGGACCTCGAAGGAATAGAAGGCTTGGCGAGCCTCTGGCAAGTGGGTCGATCTCATGTGTATTTCAGGGCGCCTCTAACCACTGCGCTACACGCACCTCTCTTGATGTATTTATTATTGAAAAATACAGGAAATTCCAGGCAAGATGAGTAAACGCATATCTGGCCTTTATGATGACTCGCGGTGGCCTACCGATGTATCGAGCCAGTGGACAAGTGTGGCAACAATCTGCCGACCTCAGACAGATGGAAGGCTTGGTGAGCCTTGAGCGCGAGGATCGATTCCACGTGTGTGTGTCGCAGTGGTGCCTCCAACCACTGCGCCAAACGCATTTTCGTTATAACATCATTTTAAACCAGAAACCAAGGTTTTTTCTAACTAAAGCCCCGAAAAGTTCCAGTGCTTTCAAGAAAAACTCACCATCCTTAGCTGGTGGTCGAACACGCCAATCATAGCCCCGACTGAGTAATCTTTCAAGTATTTCTGTATCCGCAGATTGTGGTTGTGTGATTGTTTTTCTTGGCTGAACAGGAATTCTTAATATGAACGTGGTGACGATGAAAGCCATCTTTTCTGAGGTTCAAAAATAAGGATTTTTCATTGAAATGAATGCAGACCTCGACTTGAATCCGAGCGATGTTCTCCAAAGTTGATGGATTGTCGAACGATGCAACTGTAACTGTATCGTGGTAAAGTGCCGTTCCCACAGTATCCACAGCTCCATTTAGGGATAACGAGCCGTCATGGATGAAGCTAAACGAAAATCACCATGTTGTTTTATATAGTTCCTTTCCATGAATGACACTATGAATGTAGGTACTTGCAATTTTGCTACATTTAGCAAACATTTCTCTGAATAAAGCAGATTTAGCATGTAAAAGTGCAATGGTACACTGCAATACATGTGGTCGTTTATTTGATCCCGGTCTGCAAAATAGCGAAGTTCTTTGTCCATTCGGAGGATTGGGACCAGATTATGCTGTGAGGATAAAAAACGTTCTTGAAGCATCGCTGGGTCCATCAAGTCTCTTTACAAGCTAAATGTGTAATCAACGCCTCTTGCAAAATTTAATAGGGTTGAAGGTATGTCATGTCCATAATGAATTGATTAACGTCTGAACGCTTTACCGTTTCTTGATAAATAGTTTCATGTTAGGACTATCTCAATGATTGCGGCCTAGATCGTTTATAGCCTTTCGAAAGACACGTCAACGTTGTATAAAAAAATAGCTGTGGTTTTTGAAAAAAAGTCCAACTGGGTTGAAACATATAGACCGAACATCTTCGCTGCTACGGTACCCTCTGTGTCAGGTCGACATTGCTTATTCGCTGCGCTGTTCTTATTGAGTTACTAGTGGCTTCCACAGTTATTGAAAACGCTAACCCTAGCGGCAAGAATCCGGAAAAAAAGGTTGGCATCTTCTTTCCGGATTGCGAAATTTTAAATCTATTTCGCTTTAAGAAAGGTCTTCAAACCGCTTAAGACTTCAAGGAGCCATTTATTTTTGAATTCGACTGACTCTGGTGAATTCAAATCGCCAGCGAGGATTTCGTCGAGATCATCCGTGACTGGGTTCTCCACAAATGTCGTTTTTTCTGCGGTGGGATTTGAGGCGTTCCAAAATGAGGTCTTCTTACCCTAAAATACGACGGCGTATATAAATCTGCTCATTCTTATTTCGAATTTATGTAGTTGTTTTCCCTTAATCAACTATGAAATTAGTTTTTTTATGAAGGAATTAAATGAACAGTTTATTTCGGGCTCTCTCGAGGTGATATTCACTAGTCACACTGTGCAATGCTTTGTCAACGAAAATAAACATTATTTTGCCAGCCTCGGGTAAGCTAATCAAGGAAAAATCATGTATTAATTAGTCACCGAGGTTAGAGGAAAGCCAGTTTTTAAATCTTATTCTGGCAATGGGCGCGTATGGAGCAGAGGTCAGAGGTGACCAGCAACACACAAGTGGAATCGATCCCTGCACCTTAGGCCTATCAATCCTTCCATCCCTCTGAGGACAGCAGATTGGTAACAAACTTGTCTGGGAGGATAGCAGCACTGGCTTAATACATCGGTAGACCAATACCAGTCGTTGTAAAGGCCAGATATGCATTCAATCACTCCCTAAACGATTCTTAATGGGGTCGAATGCATAGCACACTCTTAGGTATTGATCAACGCCGAGAGCCTCGCTCTTTATTACTTATTATTCTGGCAATATTAATAAGTCACATACTATGCCATTTCTTTTCCCATGTCTTGCAGCACATAACAGTATCAGAGGACAAGAACGAAATCAGAACAAATTTTTCATAGCTGTTTCGCCGTGTTAGGTGAATTTCGTGAAAACGCATTCGTAGGGAAAATAGAGTTCATTAACGCTGACATAAAGCAAAATATGTTTTGAGCTGAAATTCTCAGCGCCACAAGACACCTGAGATTGCGAAAGAGCTGTGCAAATCCAGCGATCTCGCCTCCGATCATCTACGAACAGTGTTTGCCTCATTCTCCCACTCTTTCCTGTGCTCAACAATATTTCATATCACTCGTTTCGTTCTTTGGATTTGAATGAATCACTGAGTACTCTCCCTTGAAAATTTTCCCAAACAATGTCGAGATTGCTAAACCACAATGATACCTGACAATGATACATCAATCAGTGACAATCACAACCATGCCGACTTCTACAAATTGGATTATCAGGGAATAACAATGGGCTGTCAAAGAACAATCATCGCTATCGATAAGAGCCATCCTGTAGAAAAAAGCATCGCCGAGTTAGTATGGCTCATTCGAGAGAGACGCTCCACTGAAGAAGATCCGGCTCAGTGTGCGACAAAGGCGCCACGTCGACAACGCGAACAACTGTGGACCATCGACTCGGATCATCGGCTCTGATGAGGACAAAACCGTCGAAGCGTTAGCCCAAAATAAACATTATTTGTCAACCTCGTGTAAGCTTATCAAAGAACGAATACGTATTGCCAGAATAAGATTTGATATTGAATGAATGTACGTTGGTTGATGAAACTACGAACTAATCGCTTACTAATTGTATTACAGATCACCCTCCCAACGGATTGCCACATCATCGTAGCTGGAAGACGTTCCTAGATGTCAGGCTGCGATATACAGTGCGGGATTCATCCTTCAAGCAGGGTCTACCAAGCTGAGAAGAAGTACGGCGTTTCCACCAGGAAGCCCAGCTAGGAGTAAGCGAATACCAGGAAACACGACCGTCCTGGTATCAAACTTGTCGCATGATGGTCATTTCCTTTAGATCCACAACAGCAGCGACTGCATGTGGTGGTGACGGCATTGTGGCAGACTTCGGCCAAACTGACTTCAAGAATCCATAGATCTACAATGGCTAAGCCAGGAAAACTGCGGCAAAATAGGGATTATGCCTAAATTATGCTGGGGCCCACACAACCAGTGAAGACGGGTCATCCAAGCATCTGATTAAGTATTTTTGATTACAGAGACGTATATGTATCATAATGACCAGAAGGCATCTACAATACAGACTGGATTAGTTGCTTGCTCTATTCCGCGCCTCAGGCTCACCAGATCTTTCACTTGTCTGGATTTAGGAACTTGGCATCAGACTTGTCTAGGAGGACAGAAATGCCGAGCGGTAGACCTCATTGTATAGGCCAGATATGTATTCAGTGACCTCTACGGTCCATGAATGAAGTCGAACGTGAGGGCGAATTTTTGGAGAATTAATCGAACCACGAACGCCTTGTCATTTAGCTGTTATTCTAATTTGTATCCTTAATATGAAGAGCGCGTGTGGCGCAGTGGTCGGAGGCGCCTTGCAACACTCACGTGGTGAATTGATCGCGGCGCTTATGGCCCACCAAGCCTTCCATCTCTCCGGAATAGGCAAATTGGCACCAGACTTGTCTGGGAGGATAGCAGCACTGGCTCGACAGATTAGTACGCAACCACAAGTCATTGCGAGGGCTCCACTTACTCACCTCCAAACGATGTTTAATGAGAGGGCGAATGCATGGAGCATCCCTCAAGGATTGATCAGCGGCGAGAGCTTTATCGTTTTATTTTTTTTTCATCCCTAATAATAACATAGTCGATTCACCCGATATGTTCGAATAGCTGGCCATTTGAGTGTGAACTTTTCAAGAAACAAAATTTGAACTAACAAAATCCGCTAACGAAAATGTTACAACGAATCCTCAGTTTCTCTGACTATCACAAAGAAGACCCTTCTTCCCTACCGTAGTCGGCCGGCAACTAAATTGTCTCCAGGCGCTAACTGATGAATGAATTCTTAGAGAAAATTGCCGTATCAAAAGTGCTCACAAGACGACGACCAACAATACGAAGCGACCACTTAAGTTTCACGCAATCATCACCAACGCTTCGTCCAAACACATCACATAAGCCAGTGACCTACGAACAAAATTCGGATCGGAAGCTGTTTCCTAAGTCATATTTCTTCTGAGCGGAAATACAAACTTAAATTTATAACTTGTTTTCCGGTAACGAGTGCATAGAGCATGAGATAAAATTCGTCTGCAGTCGGATTTCCGCCGAAACCCTCACTTTTTTATAGCCTTGTTTATTCACATTCAAAGGATTTGTATGTTTTAAAATAAATTTCAGAAGAGTTTCTGGATTTTGCAAAAAAAAGGCTACAAATTTTCTGCTATTAAAATATAAAAATCTCCACATCAAATTATTATCACCAACACTTAAATATGATTATACATCTTATTCAGAAAGGAAAAGCTTGAAGGCGAATTCTTAAAGGAGGCTACTTCTAAGCAGCTCGTCACCTACGAATAATGTGACAATGACGAAGTTGTAGATGAGTGAACAACTATGTACTAGTTCATGTAAAATATGAAAAAAGCCGCTTGAATTCGTCCACCTGACTCACCTTAGTATCGTAAACGTTCAGAAACTGCCGATGACTGAGTAGAAACGACACGGGGATGGTGGCAATCTTGTATGAACTCCTCTCAATCGGTAAGTCACTGATATTTTCGGCTGGCTTTTCAAGTGATTCGAACGTTCTTAACTAGTTCCATTAATATAAGAAAAAGATTTTAGGTTCCTAAAAACGTTTGCTTGGTTCCAGTGGAAAGTCTTTGAAGGAATAATATCAGAGAATTCTTGAAGAAATGAAATATGTAGATTTTACAGTCGTTTCCCTTCAGAAATTCATATGCACTTCATGTTCTTCTTCTTCCGTAGAAATCGTCCGAAAATTCATGAAGTACAGAAAAAAGCTGGACGAAATAGTTAAATGAAGAACGATGAGAATATTTGCATGTGAGAAAAAGCTTAGAGCTTTCGGCGTTGATCAATCCCTGAGGGATGTGCCATGCATTCTACTTCATTAAGTATCGCTGGAGGTTATTGAATGCATATCAGGCCCTTACGATGACTCGCGGTGGCCTACCGATGTATCGAGCCAGTGCTGCAATCCTCTCAGATAAGTCTGGTACCAATTTTCCGACCCCGGAGGGAAGGAGGGCTTGGTGGGCCATGGGTGGGAAAATCGATTCCACGTGTGTGTTGCAGTGGCGCCTCCAACC